TATGCAAAAATTATAATTAAAACCTAGCAAATTATTGGATATCAATGTTTTAGGCTATGAGATTAATGGAGTTAATTAATATATTGCAGAGCTAAGTCGTCTACAACGTGGATTGAGCTTGTTTTTTCTGGGCATACGTGGATTTAGTTCAATGCTCCAGATGTTTTTGGGTACGTGCCGGCGTGTTTAGTTTCAAGAAATTCCTTTCTTTAAATTATTTGTTAGATAATTGTTGCTCATATAATTTTTTTTAGATAAAATATAAAAATTATTATTCATAAAATTGATTGTACGGTAAATTGGCAAAGACTGTACAAATCTATTCTTTCGCAATACCATCCAAGATATTCATCCATTCCAAGATTTATATTTTAAGTTTGTTATAATTTATATATACTATTGACATTAATTTTGACATACGCATGCAGAAATCAAATACATATACGAACGGAAGTTGATCCATACATGTGCCCTTGATATTCTGCATTTAACAGCTGTGGAATTATCTAGATTGAATGCGGAAGAAGTGATTGAGAGTAAAATCGTCCCAGCTTTGTTCCAATCCATCGAGCATGGCATAATAGAATTTTTGAAAATTGGAAAAACTAATCCAGATATTATGTTATGCCCCATTGATGAAAAGACATTGTTCTTTTTCAATTACGCAATCGAATGTCGTCTGGAGAAGTATTTTCATGAGTTTGTCGCTGGAGAGGGGCATGTTTTGGCTACATTGACAGATGACGATGGTAACAATGCACTTCACATGGCAGCAAAGTTAGGTCCTGAGTCTTATCTTCGTAATTTCTCAGGTGCAGCCCTTCAAATGCAAAAGGAATTACAATGGTTCAAGGTACCTGTAGTCAATTAGCTTATATTTTTTTTTGATCGACCATGCAAAATTAGTTACGGTATCTTATAATTATTTCCTTTACTAATTTGACTGCATAAAAAAAATAATTAGTATCTTACAATTGCCTTTCTTTTCAGGTTTAGTAGCCTTTTTTCAAAAGAGAAAAATTAAAATATTAGCTTTTTTTTTTTTTCTTTTATCTGCAAAGACAATTATATTACCAATTTAATTATGAATTGATGTAGGAATTTGAGTCTGTTATTCCAGAGTGTAAAGCCTGGGTAAATCGCAATGGAGAAACTCCTCGGCAAGTGTTTAGCAGGGATCACATGAACTTGTTAAAAGAAGCTGAAGCATGGACCAAGCAAACAGCAACATCTTACATTATAGTTGGGGCCCTCATCCTTACTATTATGTTTGGGTCTGCTTTTACTATTCCTGGCGGCTTCAGAGATGGTGGCTCTCCCAGATTATTAGGTAAAAGAATATTTGTGACATTTGCAATGTTCGATGCAATTTCTCTCTTCGCTGCATCTACTTCCGTGCTGACGTTTTTAGGAATCCTCACATTTCGCTACACTGAAGAAGTTTTTCTGAAGTCATTGCCCACCATGTTGATGGTCGGCATTCTCACTCTCCTCATTTCTATTGCAACAATGATGGTAGCTTTTTGTGCTGCTATTTCAGTTTTGTTACAGGAACAGTGGTGGGTAGCCTTCTGGCTAGTTTTGCTTGCCAGTATTCCAGTTTTTGTCTTTTTGTCATCGCAATCTCGGCTTCTTTTTGAGATTTTGCGTTCAACTTATGGGCCGG